TATGTGGTGCTGAGGAATCGAATCCAGGGCCTCATGCATGCAAGGTAAGCACTCTACCACTGAGCCACCTTCCCAGCCCTTCTATATCTTTTTATTTGCCAATTCTTTTTCTTTTTTCCCCCTTTTTGCTGGTAATGGGGCTTGAGCTCCAGGACTTGTGCTCTTAGCCTTCTTGCTCATAGCTGGCACTCTACCACTTGGCCATGCTTTTACTTCTACCGTATTTGGTGGTTAATTGGAGATGAGTCTTGCATATTTGTTTGCCTGGGCTGGCTTCAAACTGCGATCCTTAGATGTCAGCCTCCTATGTGTCTAGTATTATAGGTAAGAGGCACTTGTGCCTGATTCTAGCTCTGCTTTTTGTTCTTTAATTGGAAATGGAGTCTCTCAGACTTTTCTGCCTGGGCTGTCCTCAGATCTCAGCCTCCTGAGTAGCTAGGATTATAGGCCTTAGCCACCATCTTACATTTTTCCCTTGAAATGAAAACATTTATCCCAAATGAATGAAGTTAATTAGATTCAGGGGTAGAGATGTAGCTCAGTGGTAGAGTACTTGGCTAGCATGTGTAAGGCTTATTATGTGGGTTGTAAGTGATGACAGTTGGAAAACACAGTTTCATTAATTTATATCAGCATAAGAGTGTGTTGATAGAGGAAGTGCAAGGAAGGGTTTAGAGAAGATGCTGGGGTCAGTGAGAGTTCACACCTGGTTCATAGTAGTCTTTTTTTTTTTTTTTTTTGGGTCTGGTCGTGGGGCCTGAACTCTGGGCCTGGGCGCTGTCCCTCAGCTCTTCAGCTCAAGGCTAGCGCTCTATTACTTGAGTCACAGCACCACTTCCAGCTTTTTTCTTTTTGCTTATGTGATGCTGAGGAATTGAACCCAGGGCCTCAGGCAAGCGCTCTACCACTGACCCAACTTCCCAGCCCCGATAGTAGTCTTTTTTTTTGAGACAAGGTCTTACTATATAGGTCAGGCTTGCCTGGAACTCTCCATGCTCCTGCCTTCTGAGTACTAGGATTACAGGTGTGTGCCACTTTACTCAGCTCTCAGTAGTTTTGATTGAAATGGATAGATCTTGGCTTTGCCTGGTAGTTCCTGAATCAAGTGTTTATATGTGGGGTCATGCAAGTGCGGCTCTGCCACTGCTCTATGCTCTCAGGGCCCTTGTCCTGACAGGCCTGCTCTGTTAGCTATGTGACCTCCCTCACCTTTTGTAATTGGGAGGCTGTTCAGAGCTGGGCCCCACTCTGTGTGGTGACCCCACACTCTTCCTTAGCGGACAGGGAGTTCATCGAGGGCCGGAGGAGGGCCCTGAAGCGCTTCATTAACCTGGTGGCCCGGCATCCTCCGTTCTCCGACGATGTCATCCTCAAGCTCTTCCTCTCATTTAGTGGCTCGGTAAGTGTCCTGGGGGGGGGGCGTTGCTTGGGGGCTGGATTCTATGTCCCCTCAAAGCTGTCATCTGCTTGTTAAATCTGCTGTTAAATCTGCTGTCTCCTCCTGCTTTGTGTCTCTGGCTTGGATTCCAGGAAGGAATTCATTTCATTGTGATTGACAGTATATGAGTCCTTTTCTTTCCACATGACAGGTCAAGGGGGATTTTGAGATCATCCGTGGTGTTGACTTTGCAGGACTTGGGTGGCACCAGGGATTGACCTCAGGGACTTGCCTTTGCTAGGCAGGTGCTCTGCCCCGTGAACCACACCTCTAGCCTTGACTTTGCAGGACTTTGTACACCTGGAGGAAATCTTGGACTATCTATGTGTTGACTTTGAGGATTTAAAGCTTATCTCCAGAAAGCACCAGGTGCTCCTCAGTTGTAGGGAAAGGGCTGCTTGAGTGGACATTCAGGACCTTTGCTTCTTTCCCTGGCTGAAAGGCAGGGAACCCAGGACACAGGTCAGTCAGCCTAGGTCTGGCATCCTCTTGCTTTGGCCCTTTGCCTCTTTCAGAAGGTTGCAGGCTTTTGCTGGATGGCATTCCTGGGTACCTAGATCAGCCTGCACTACTCATGAGTAGGAGTATGGCTTGTTTGTTCTTGTCCATGCTGGGAACAGAACTCAAGACATGATACATGCTAGACGGGTACTTTAATCCCTGAGCTACACCCTTCACTCTAGTGGGGCCTTCTTCAAGATTCATTTTTTTCTTTGGTGGTAGGTATGGAACCCAGAGCCTCAAGTATGCTGGGCAGACAGGGCCACTGAGCCCACCCCTGGTTGAAGTATGGCCCCTGTTTTGGATGGGGGGCTGCCATGGGAACTGAATTGAGGGCCTCACACTTGCTATGGCAGCACTCTACCACTTTGAGTCTCACACTTGTCCTTTTGCCTCCAGTTTGTTCTTCAGATTGGGTCTCTCACTTTTGTCTGGGTTGCCCTTGGACTGTGATCCTTCTTCCTCTGCTTCCTGAGTAGCTGGAATTACAGGCCTGCACCATGCTGAGCCTTAGTGTGGCCCTTTGAGTCCTAGGATGGAGCAGTGCTTTTGATTACCAAAGGAGGAATGAGATAGGACCTGGGAGCTGTCTGTACTCCTGGCAGAGGCCTGGAAGATGGGGTGCACAGTAGGATATTTTTATAAATTCCCTCAATTTCTTCTTTTGGCAAAATGCAGAAGTAGACAGGTGACCATCAGGACTTCTGAAACTTTCTGGACACAAAGGTACATGCCTATCAGGCTTTCTCTCTGTATTCCTCTTGTATTCTCCAGTAAAGGTCTGTTCTGAGGGCTGCACTGTAGCCTGGGGCTAGAACAGAGCTCTTCTTTCCTCTGCCCACCAGCCCTCCTGGACCCCTGGGGCTCCCTCAACCCGTGAAACTGTCCACAGGAGAAGCAGCCCCAGCTTTCCTCCTGCTGCTCCAGGTAGAATGCAAAGGGTCTGGATGAGTCTGACGTTGGTCTCTATCCATGCTGTCTGTCCCTACTTTGTAGCTGGAGTTCTTTGGTTATGGAACGAGACTTGGCTCTGCAGCTGTCACTAAGTCAGGCTTTCCTGAAGTTTTGGCTCAAGGAAAGAACATGACAGACAGCAAAGTGATTCTGAATGCTGATGGAGGAGTGGTCACATGGATGGTGGCTCTTCGGGCAGGACTGAGTCGTCTTTCTCACACTTGCCTGCTCTCAGTTCAGGGTTTATGCCAATGGAAGATGGTGAAGCTGGCTCTTTTCACTCTTTTATTATTTTTTCTTTTGAGACAGGGTTTCAATATGTAGCCCAGGCTGGCCTCCAACTCAAGATCTTCCTGACTCAGATTCCCAAGTACTGGGATTACAGGCGTGTGCTACCACACCTGGCTTGTCTCTTTCCTCTTGCAGGATGTGCAGAACAAGTTGAAAGAAGCAGCCCAGTGCGTTGGAGATGAATTCATGAACTGTAAGCTGGCTGCTAGGGCCAAGGTAGTTTTCTAATTTTGCCTATTTCTTCTTCTTAACTAGAGAAACAGTCACTCTAACACTCGGTGATGCTCGTTTCTCTCTGCTGTGGGCAGGATCATGCTGTGCCCACTGCATGTCTACTCCCTTGACCCCTTCGGCTGCTCTGCATTGGAGTCTGCCTGTCTTACCAATGAGCGGACTAGTTCAGGGCTGTCCATGCCCTGAGCCTCTAAGCAGCAGGGTCACCACCTCCTTGTTGCCCTCCAGGACTTCCTCCCAGCTGACATCCAGACTCAGTTTGCCATGAGCCGGGAGCTGATTCGAAACATCTACAACAGCTTCTACAAGCTGCGCGACAGGGCGGAGCGGATGGCATCCCGGGCCATTGACAATGCCTCTGATCTTCTCATATTCGGGAAGGAGCTCAGGCAGGTGGCCCTGCAGGGACTGGGGTGGGGTGGGGTGGGGTGAGGTGGGGTGGGGTGGGGGGAAGTTGCCTGGGTTTCCTGCAAGGAGCAAAGTAGGCTGGGCAGGGGGGATTGGAATGCAGAGGAAGAGGCTGAGGGCTGGGTTGAGTGCAGTGGTTTCTCCTGTGGTCTTTGGTCTTTCCTTGTCCCTCTAGAGAGGGTGGCCTGGGGCTGGCTGTTCCTCCTTTTGTCCCCTGCACACAGGCCATGCAGGGCCTGTGTGGGAAGAGAAGGGATTCACAGGGTCTGGGGTAGCATCTAACACTGTGCCCTCTCTTGGGCATTGGGCATGTGCACAACCCCTCCCATGAGCACGGCTCTGGGGTTGGGCCAGCAGGCGAGTACTGTGCCTCCCATCATGTGTGTTTCGCTTCCCACAGTGCTTTAGGGTCTGACACTACCCCGCTGCCCTCGTGGGCCGCCCTGCACCTCAGCACATGGGGCTCCCTGAAGCAGGCGCTCAAGGGCCTGTCTGTGGAGTTTGCACTGCTGGCTGACAAGGCCGCACAGCAGGTGAGTACAGGATTTTCTGGGGGCCGTGCTGCCCTCACAGCCCCGCTCTGTCCCCTGTGCTAAGAGAATGAGGATACCCCGTTCCCATGTGTTCCCAGTGTCTCCCATCGGGCCATTTACACTTAAGCTTTCAGGACAGAGACAAAGTAGGTTCTGGTGTCTGAGAGGGTTCTGCTCTTAGGCTTTGCTGAAGTTGGAACAAATCTGGGAGTCGAATATGGTGTTATACACTTGTAATCCCAGAACTCAGGAGTCTGAGGCAGGAGGATTTCAAGTTTAAAGTTAGCCTGAGCCAGGCACCGATAGCTCAAGCCTGTAATCCTAGCTACTCAGGAGGCTCAGACCTGAGGATCACAATTCAAAGCCATCCTGGGCAGGAAAGTCCGTGAAACTCTTATCTCCAATAAACCACCAGAAAACTGGAAGTGGCACTGTGGCTCAAGTGGTAGAGCACAAGCCTTGAGCTGAAGAGCTGAGGGACAGCGCCCAGGCCCAGAGTTCAAGCCCCACGACCAAGACCGACAACAAAAAGCTAGCCTGCACTTTGTAGTGACATACCTGTGGTTTTTTTGTTTTTGTTTTTTCTAAGTGTCAAAAAACAAAAGGAAACACAGAAGGAATCTGTCTTTAGAGCTGTAATCTTGAGCGCTGAGGCTTCTGCAAGCTGGAGCAAATGTTTCCCATTGTGCTAAGTGAGCCAACTAGTACTCAGCATCTTTCTCTAAGATAACTTAGCTGCCAGCCCCCCAGACAGATTCTGTCCTCCTTTTCTGTCTCCTCAAGACCAAGGAGCCTTAGCAAGTGCTGCTGCAGCACAGGCAGGGGCTAATCTTGGAGTCTGGTAGATACAGAGTTGTGGGCTGAAGGCAGAGTTTAGTCATGCGTAAGGGCTCATCTGGCCTTCCGTATTCTCAAACTGTAAGGTGATTTGGAGGGTGGAGACCCTGCTGCCTGTTTCTTGGGAACATGCTATTTAAGCTGCTAGCAGACAGTAGTTCTTTTTACTTTGCTTTTCTTCTTTCATTTTTCCATCTTTCCTTCCCTTCCCTCCTTCAATCCCAGCCTCCTTCCCTCTTGTCTCTCTCTTCCTCTCTCCCTCCCTCCCTTCCTTCCTTCCCTTCCCTTATTTTCTTCCTTTCTTCTTTGAGTTTGAACTCAAGGCCTTGAACTTGCTTTTGTGTGGGGTGTGTGTGTGCGTGTGCGTGTGCACGTGCGTGCGCACGTATGCGGACACACATGTCTATGTGTGCTCATAGCTGGTACACTACCACTTGAGCCATGCTTCTAGCTCAGCTTTTTCCTCTCTTTTTTCCGGTTTGAGATCTGAATTTGAACTTGGTCCCTGTGGCCGCTTTTGTGCATTGACTTGTGATCTTCCAACTGAGACATGCCTCAACCCTTAAAAGGTTGGTTATTTGTTTTCTTCTTTTTCTTCAGCCAAGCTTTTTGCTAGGTAATTGGAGTTGGAGTCACACATACTTTTCTGCTTGGGCTGTCCTTGAACCCTGATTGTCAGGTCTCAGCCTCCTGAGTAGCTAGGATTACATATGGGAGCCACCAGCTCCTATTTAGCAGGCTGTTTTAAATGAGTGAGTGTCCTTGTGAACTTACTTGTTCCCATAGACCTGAAGCTGGTTAGGTGTCTCCATGTAGGCTCCACACTGCTGGGGATTGGTGCTCAAGAAGGAATTTGATTTCTGCTGGAGTGGAAAGTCCTGGGCTTTCAGTTCTGCTCCTGATGTCCACAAGCTCCCAGTTGAAACTGTCTTCAGGGCCTTGTCACTATTTCCTAATTGGTGCTGGGTCTGTCCTTCCCCAGGCTGATGCATGCCATTCTTACAAGGTAAGAAGGACAGAGAAGCAGGTGTTTGGCAGGATAGAGAGTCAGGGGCTCAGAGTATGGCGTGCACTTATTAGCATTGTATTGCCCTGACATTGTTCCAGTTCTTTTGTTTGTTTGTTCATTTGTTTTGTTTTTGCCTCTCAGTCCTCTGGCCTCTCAATTCCCAGGAAAGTATGTTTTTTTTTTTTTTTGTTTTGGCCAGTCCTGGGGCTTGAACTCAGGGCCTGGGCACTGTCCCTAGGCTTCTTTTGCTCAAGGCTAACAATCTACCACTGGAGAGTCACAACACCACTTCCAGCTCTTCCTCTTTATATGGTAATGAGGAATCGAATCAGGGCTTCCTGCAAGCTGGGCAAGCACCCTACCACTAAGCCACATTCCCAGCCCATGACTCCAGTTCTTTGGATCTCCTTGCCTTGGTTTCACCACTGATTATACCCTGGATTGTTAAACAGCCATCTTCTAATAGCCTGATGCACCCTCCTTCTCAGCTGTCCATCACCCAGACAGCAAAGAAGGGGCCCACCGTGGCCACACTCAGTAGGTGGTGTCTGCAGAGCCTGGGATGAAAGGCCAGGAGCAGAAGGTCATGAGGACCTTTCCCAGCTGAGTGGATGCTGTGCTCCCACCCAGAACCAAGTACCAGGAAAGAAAGGCCCAGGCCTCTGGCCCAGGCCCCCAGCAGTGGAAGATGTAGTTCCAGGCTCTTCTCAATCTGCTGCTTCTGTGCTATTTCATGAGTTCTACTTTGAAAGATATTGTTTAGGGAAATACTGCTTCCCTGATCTTGGTTGTAGGGAAATTCATAGAATTTTTGTTTGTTACTGTTGAGATAGAGCCTCTCTGTGTAGCCAGCTGGCCTGGAACTTGTGATGCTCCTGCCTCAGCCTCAGCTGGTATTACAGGTGTGGGCCTCTGGCTCCTTTTGTATTGATAGTCTCACATGGTAAACCACAAGCTTTGGTGGTAAATGGTTGGAGCAATGGGGATCCTGAGTCCCCTCTGTAGGGAAGAGGCCCCCAGGGTGGTCCACTGGGAGCAAGGCACTCATGGCCAGCTGTTGTTTCCTTCCCATGTTTTAAGAACCCTCAGCACACTCACAACTGGTCTGGAGCTTCTTGGCTAGAATGGAGGCAGGCTTCAGGTGTGGGATTCAGTGGGCAGGTGCTTCTGGGAGTGGAGAGGTGTCCTACAATCTATGGAGAAAGTGGCAGCTCTTCTCTCAGGCCACGGCTCTTTTGTCCACAAACTTTTGTGTTCATTTACTGTCTGTTGTCTACCTCCTCCTGCCACAGTGCTCCACATGCACATGGCTTCTGGGCTGAGCTGCTCTCTCTTCTCTCTCCTCTCGGCCATGACTGGAGTTGCTGGTGTCTCGAGAAGTGTGTTGGTCAGCCTGTTTGTGTCCCCAGAGTGCCTGTGCCACATGTACACTGGAGGCCCAGGATCGTGGGTGGAGATAGGCCCACTGGTGCTCTCTCATGTGTGAGCCTTGAATGCTGGGGAGACCCTGGGAGCTGGGCTTCCTCCAGTCCTAAGGCTGTACCTACCTTTGTCTCCCTCTCCCCGCTGGCATCTGTGCACAAAGCTCTTGTTGCTGCCTCTCCTCTTGGTGTGTCCTTTCTCGCCCCGTGTCAGTCAAAGCAGCAGCATCCCTGTGTACTTGTCTTGCTCAGTTCTGTCCTCCCTTTGCTTCCTTCCCAGACCCGCACTTCTTTCCTGTTTGTGAAGTCTGGATGATACCCACTTCCTCAATGTTTCCCCAATGCATTCCCCTCTGGACACACTTCCAGGTTCAAGTAGAAATGTTTTCCTCATCCTGGGCACGGACAGATGTGAGGTTTGAGCATAGAAGTGAAAGTCATAAGGAAGTGAGTGTGGTAGCCCATGTCTATAATCCCAGGTACTTACGAGGTGGAGATTATCAGCATGATTGTGATTTGAGGCCAGTCTGGACAAGGTTTGTTTTTTTTTTGGGTCTGGTTGTGGGGCCTGAACTCTGGGCCTGGGTGCTGTCCCTCAGCTCTTCAGCTCAATTTGCTAGCGCTCTACCACTTGAGCCACAGCGCCACTTCTGGCTTTTTTCTTTTTGCTTATGTCGTGCTGAGGAATCGAACCCAGGGCCTCAGGCATGCCAGGCAAGTGCTCTACTACTGAGCCACCTTCCCAGCCCTGGACAAGTTTTTGAGGACCCATCTCAACAAAAAAAGCTGGGCACGGTAGTGTCTGTGTGTCATCCCAGCCATGTGGGAAGTGTAAATAGTTGATTTGTGATCTAGGCTGACTTGGGTAAAAACAAGAACTCTTATCTCAAAAATAACCAAAGCATAAAAGCCTGGGGGTATTATAGAACCCCCAGCAAAGGGTCAGGTAAGAGTAGAATAACTGGGGCAGAGGCTCCCCTGTACCCTTCTAACTGCTTGGTGTGAAGGTGTTCCTGGCCTTGGGTGGCTGCTGTATGGAGAGAAGGGCTGGCGGCCATGGTTGCGGGTGTCTCCCAGAACTATCGAGGGTCTTGTGTGGGCTCCACTCTCCATTCCTCACTGGTTAACTCACCCTTGTTTTCAGGGCAAACAGGAAGAGAATGATGTGGTGGAGAAGCTGAACCTTTTCCTGGACCTACTTCAGTCCTACAAAGTGAGTGTGTGCTCCTGTTAGGGGCAGAGCTTTGGGGGACGAGCCTGTGATCGCTCAAGGGTGTGACTCCAAGGGCACTGTGGCCCTGGCAGGATGCAAGGAAAGTGGTTCCTGGGTGTTGCTGACATTTTCTCTGGGCTGCCTATTCCCTCAGGCCTTCACTGAGCTGAGAGCAGGGAGGATTGCCCTAGCAAAGAGACAGACAGAGACAGAGACAGACAGACACAGAGAGAGCATGTTGTGGCTCTCTTTAAGGATCTGGAAACATAGCTCAGGAAAGGGGCTTCACCTTTTGTAGCTCATGGAATTTCTGGGAAATTGGCTGCAGCTAGAGCCAGGGAGAAGCTCTGTAAATCCTTCCTACCATGCAGCCCAGGGAACCCAGGCCAGAGCTTGTGGGGAAAGGACTAGAGGGAAAGGTCTTGAGTAGGGTGGCAGCAGGTGGCCTCTAGAATCTCCATGCTGAGCCTGTAGCTTGTGTGTCCTACCAGGTCTTTTTTTTTTTTGCCCAGGCCTGGAGCTTGAACTCAGGGCCTGAGCACTATCCCTGAGCTTCTTTTGCTCAAGGCTAGCACTTTACCACTTGAGCCACAGTGCCACTTCCGGCTTTTTCTGTGTATATGGTAGTGAGGAATTGAACCTAGGGCTTCATGTATTCTAGGCAAGTACTCCACCACTAAGGCACATTCCCAGCCCCATGTCTTTTCTTTTTCAAACATTATTAACTTTTTAGCTTAAATTAGTTGTACAAGGCGGGGTGGGGGGTCATTGTGACTTTTCCAGACATGTGTATAATGTATCCTGATTAGCCTCTTGCCCTCCATCTCCCTTTCTTAAAACATTTCCATCAAGTTTCAGTGTTCTTGTTTTTTTTTTTTTTTTTTTTGTCTGCTGTGGGGCTTGAACTCAGGGCCTGGGTGCTGTCCCTGAGCTCCTTTGCTCAAGCTAGCACTCTACCACTTTGAGCCACAGTGTCACTTCTGGGTTTTCCGAAAGTTAATTGGACATATGACTTTCCTGCCCAGACTGGCTGAACTGTGACCCTTAGATCTCAGCTCCTGAGTAGCCAGGATTAAAGGGTGACTCAGTGGTGCCTGGCTTCTCCTCACCACTTCTTAAAACAATTCCAACAGGTTTCATTGCTCTATTTTATCCATGTGGATAAACTACTTCAACTATATTTATCCTCATTCACCTTCCTTAACCCTCATGCTCCTGTGTGTGGTGTGGGGGAGGGGAGCTTGCTTTGCTTTTCTGTCATTTTCTTTTTGTTAGTATGTGTTAGTTACACTGACGGTTTGCATGCAGGGTCTGCTCTTGCTTAATGGGCACTCTTCTACTTGAGTCATACTTCTAGCCCCAGCCCAGCCCTCAGCATGTCTTCAATGTTGTGTCTTCCTTTTGGGCCACCTGTTCCCTGCACGTGTGGAAGTAGGTGGCATTAGCAGGCTAAGGTGCCCTGGGCTCTGGACTCTACATCCCCTCTGCTAATCTGAGTGACAGTATGTAGGGTTTGGGTCTAGTGGGTGCCCCGTAGGACGGAGAGGGCCTGGCTTTGACTTCCTCAGCTACGTACGTGAACTTTTCCTCAGTGAGGACAAAAGGGTGTGGAAGAAAAGCCCGCTTCCCTGGAAAGGCTGTCAGCTGGGAGAGGGGGTGAGGGGTCCACAGTATACCCAGAGGATGAGGGCCCGCCTGCCTGTAGGACCTGTGCGAGCGTCACGAGAAGGGCGTACTGCACAAACATCAGCGTGCCCTGCACAAGTATGGCCTGATGAAGAGGCAGATGATGAGTGCAGCACATGGCCGTGAGCCTGAGACTGTGGAGCAGCTGGAGTCCCGCATTGTGGAGGTAGGTGGGCATGGCAGTGGCTTGTGGGGGAGGAGTGACAAGCATTAGAGCCCTCTAGTGCCCCCTCCACATTGGTGAACTGGGGGGGCTGTGTATACCGAGGCTGAAGCTCTGGCATTTCCATTTAATCCTTTCTACAATGGGCCCACGCTAGACAGTGCTTGGCTTCTGTGATCCCCCCTGCCCCTCTTCGACCTTGCCTTACCTTTCCATCCCCATCTGGTATGGGTGGGCTGCACCTGCTCACCAAGCCCTGACCTTGCAGCAGGAGAACGTGATCCAGACCATGGAGCTGCGGAACTACTTCTCCCTGTACTGCCTGCACCAGGAGACGCAGCTGGTCCACGTCTACCTGCCCCTCACCTCCCACATCCTTGGGGCCTTCGTGAACTCACAGATCCAGGGCCATAAGGAGGTGGGTACTGTTACCCCCGCCAGGAGTTACTAGGACAATTGGTTAAGTTGGGGTTAATATGGATCCTAAAGCACAGTTTGTGCCAGATGCTTGTGACTCATTCCTATAATCCTAACTAGGATCATGGTTGGAAGCCAACCCAGGCAGAAAAGTCCATCACGAGAGTTGTATCTCCAACCTACAAGCAAAAATAACCAGAAGTGAAGCTGTGGCTCAAGTGGTAGAGTACCAGTACCAGGCAGTAAAACTAAGGGATAGTGCCCAGCTTTAAGTGGCCATAGTAGTAACTCTGAAGTTGTACAGGCCAGACCAGACAGGAACAGTCTACCTTCCAGCAGAATCCAGACAAGTCCAAAGGAAAAATATGGAATCTCTGAACCCTGTGCTTGAGATGAGGATGGAGTGTCAGGTTTGAGTGGCTGTGAAGTCCCTCAAGTTGACAAGACTGCCTGATAGGCAGCTTTGTGATCGTGTGGCATTCCTGTCCCTGGCTTCTCCACTTAGTGGAGGTTGCAGGCTGTTGGATTGCTGGACCACATTGGCCAGTGCTGGCAGAGCTGTGACAGGGTATTGGGAGGGAATTGAAAGTAACTGTTTTCTTTCATTATGGGGGTTTGAACCTAGGTTTTTGTAGCCTGAGCCACACCCCTGTCACTTTTCACTTCAGTTACTTTTCAGATAGGATTTCTTTTTTGGCCTGCCATTCTCCCACCTCTATCTCCCACAAAGCCGAGATTGTAGGCACGAGCTACCACACTCAGCCTCTTAACAGTAATGTGAAAGTACCAGGTCAGGCAGACTTGTGGCTCCGCTCCTGCATGCAGGGGACAGAGGAAGAACCAAGGTGGCCTCTGGAGGTTGTCTACTCTAAGGGAGTAGGCCTGGCAGCTCTGTCCTCACTTCAAGAAGTTCTGTGGTTGTGGAGGTGGGATGGGATGGGTCTGAGTACCTTCCAGAGAGTGAGGATGCCTGCTCACCTTCTTCCCTCTGCAGATGAGCAAAGTGTGGAACGACCTGAAGCCCAAGCTCAGCTGCCTCTTTGCTGGGCCTCATGGCACCCTGACGCCGCCAGGGTCCCCACAGGAGGATGGAGTATGTCCCCACTAGTGCCTGAGGCCTCAGAGCTCCCTGTGGCCTCACTAAACCCTCTTTGCCAATGCTGTGGGATGGCTGAGTCACTTCCGATAGCAGCTGGGCCTCTGATGGGACCCAAGCAGAGGCTCTCCTTTTCCACCCTCCCACTGTGTCCCCTGGGCCTCTTGGTGGTCTTTGTTCCTTCTACCTGGCAGGAGGCCTGCTGGCCCCATTGTGAGAAGTAGGACACTCTGGGATGCACATGGGTCATTGCCATACAGCCTAGGGCAGCGTACAAGGGTCCCTGGGTCCCAGACTAGTACAGAGGGCTGGACTGGAGGGTCAGTCAGCAGTGGGAGAGAGAGGGGACAGTGCCATCGGGTGGGGAGATGGCAGTCTCAGGGTGAGAGGTCTGGCTGTGGGTCGGGACCTGCAGACACTCTGGGTGTAGGGTTGCTGCTGCAGTGCTGAAGGCCACGGTCACGGTGGTGAATGGGTTACACTGCTATGAGCACCACTGGGCTCAACTGACCTTTAGATCATTTCTTCTTTTTGGGCAGCTGCACTCCTTCTCCTGGGCTCCCTCCCACCTGCCCTCAGCTCTAGGGGAAGGGGAGGGAGGGCTGCAGGCATTGCCACCAGGGACTCTTTGTGGGGACCACACAGCTTCCTAGGCCCAGGAGAGTGCTGGAGGCCCTGCTGGGCAGGGAAAGCAGAAAGCACTCTGAGGATGTGGGCCTCCATCTTCTCCCTGAATGGCGGAGGCCTCCTTGGCCCTCTGAAGACAACCTTCCCTCATGGAAGACAGTTCCTGATCACTATGTGGAACTGTACCATTCCCAGGGCTGTCCTTCCACA